GATGACGAACAAAGCCAGTTATCTGTAGTACCAAGTGTCGTCGCTCTGATCGATAGAATCATCTCTAATTTTTTTTAGGTCTTCCCCTTTTTCTCTTGACGACACTTGATACTACAGATAACTGGCTTTGTTCGTCATCTTTCGTCTCACTTGCCGCGTTAGACGAGGTCGACCACCTGGTTCTACAGGCCGGGAACGTGGACGCGGTCGAGGCCGTGTGTTATGTACATTTGTGTCCGGATGAAACGAGACTTGTTTCCCAGTTACAAGCTTCGTACATTTTCTCGTCAACTTCGGATCGTCATTTGCCGTCGTCGATGGCATTGTCTCCGTGAATGATTGCGTCAAATTCGGCAATTTAGCTTGAACTAATCTCGACTCTTTCTCGTCATTACGTTCGACAGCAGCTTTCAAATCTGCAGGCAGTGATCTTGTTGGTCTAGCTGGTAGTGCGCGATAGATATAACTATTTAGTGTGATAATAGTATTTACTTATGTAACGAGAGTATGATAGCTGTCATACTTTCGTTACACAAGATGCCCACTGGGCATTAACGGGCACTGGCGTTATAGCATATATATTATAAACCCAGCAAGATTTTAATCAGCGGTTTTTCCCCTCGTAGAGAGACAAGAGTAGAATTGAGGGAAAAGTATGCGCGCAAATTGAAAATCTAATATGTCACATTCTGTATACAGTTTCACAGCGGTCTTGAAATTTAACACTCTCTGATATACAGGAATTTTCTCATTAAACGTGAAACTATTCTTCTCTCGTGCGTTTTTAATTCTAACGGGACACTGGCTTGTGAAGGTTTTTTTTCTGCAAACAAGCATGTGTAGTGTACTTGGCAGTCAACACCATATATAATAAATATAAATAATATAAACGGTGCGCAAATATGTAAGTAAAGGAAATCAAGAATAAACTTGCCCTTCTTAACAAAGGCCTCGATGAACTCGGCGTTTACGAGGTCACTGGCGCGCAGCTGGTTTATTCGGTAGTAACTCGTGTCCTCCGACAGGCAGTCCCGTAACCTTTGAGGCACAGTCGCGGAGTCGGGAAGTACCACAGACACCTGGCGTACAGAAAGCGCGAATTCATCAGTCCATCGAGGGTACACCCGCGAGCTTGGCGAAAAATGTATATCGAGAAAGTTCATACCGAATGATTGTAGTAATGGGTCTTGACTACCGCGGGCACGTCCTTCCTATAATCCACCGTCCCCAAGGAGGTGTAGGGCGACGGCGTATGGAAATTCCACGCCTCCGGAGACAGCATGTTTCCTCTATCCCAGAGCTATGGACGCCATGGACGGCATGGACCACGTGTTGCCTCGTAGCGTACCTAACCCAACCTAACCTAACCTAATTTCTTCTTCCATTGATATAGACGAACTTACACTAAGTAGCACAAGCGCCTCGGTAGCGCAGTAGGCAGCGCGTAAGTCTCATAATCTTAAGGTCGTGAGTTCGATCCTCACCCGGGGCATTATTTTTTGGTGATTGATTTTATTTTTGCGAAGACGATTTTAGCGTCGTTTGCTTCTGCAAAAATTAATAATCGATATCACCACCTATTCGATATTTTTGTAAACCGATCGGTAAGTTTAATTATGCGGAGAAACTTGCGTATTTGTACATAGGTGAGGAGATCGTCCAATCACGATACGAGTGTTTACGCGATTGGCTGTTTGACGTTGCTGCGTTTCTCGTTGCGACCCATAAACGTGCCCCTCATCTACACCGATTCTACTAAAAAAAGAATCTCGCGGCATTGGTAGTTCGAAAGCGAATTGACCTATGCTGATTTACTCGAACTCTGTAGTTGATGTGCATACCAAATGATCTTCCTTACGCTTTTCATTAGAAAAAAAAAGGTAAGGGAACTGTAACGAAGGTTTTCCCTGGCGGAAAAAATTTCTATAAACAACTACAAAAAATTGACTTGAAATATGGAAATTTGTAGAAATTTTTATATCTTCGTTGAAACGTTAATTTTTTTTTTTGGTAAAAATATCTACAAAGTAGTACGACAAATTACAGTGTTCTCATATTAAGAAATTATTGCAGGCAGTACTTCATGAAAATTTACAACTTTGTAAAAATTAGTACAAAGCTTTACTAGTTTTAAAATTTTGAGAAACAACAAAATCTTAAACTGTAGCTTATAGATATTCGATGTTAACTACTTTTTAAGTTGGCGAATATATTCGCATTCGATAGTTTTTCTCGAGATCGACGTCTCTAATTTAATAGATAAATTGCCACAAAAATTATAAGTGTATGGATATTACAAAGGAGACATTTGGAAATGGAGATGTTTACAGGAATATATTCATAAGAGACCTCTGAATTCTCGAAGTAACAACATCGATTTAACAAAAAAAAGAATAGTTTTTATTTTCGTTTCTTTTTGGATTCATTGGGGTTTCTCTTCATCCAATACTTGACGGCACCGTCCGGTTTTATGCCCAGTATAACCGACCTCGAGTTTACGTCGCGCGTGATGAAGGGAGAGTATCCGGCCGTGTAATCGTCGTGGAGCGGATTATTTTTCATACGCGCCAAACGTGACGGACGTTGCTGCGGCATCGGTTGATCGTCGCACAAAATGGGATTGTTGGCGTGCTTTCCACCCTTCGGCGTCGGTAGCGAGAACTGAAACAAATTTCATCAATTTTTACTCAGGCATTTTCACGTAACTTGCGGATTGCAGATCAGAAAATACCCCGGCGTACCTTCTTTCCTTTGGCTGAGAGGGGTCTCCGGAAGTTGATGTGAATCTGTTGTTTCCCGTTGTCGTCTAACGTGACCTCCACCTTCTTAAGTGTTCTGTTACCACAGTGCGGACAGAAGATCTTCGTCATGACGCTGGTGGTCTTGAAACAGGCGTAACACCTGAATATGAACGTTCGCATCTGTTTGATCACTCGGCCGTCCAACGCGACTACATTCAGTCCCATTTGCATGAGTACATTTTGCATCGCGAAGTCCGTCGTCAAGCACGCGACGGTCGCGGCTTTTTCTTCGAAAATTTCCGAGCCCATTTGATTCTTTACCTTGGAAACATTTGCTGTCAACAGAAATAAATTATGAACAATTAACATTCTTGAATGTATACACATGTATGCTTATACAGGGATGCAGTGTTTCGATGCGAGACTGATCGATTCACAGTTGCAGCAGGTCTCGAGTTTGATTTCTACTCTTATCCCGCGTGAGTCTTAGTTTTGTACAAAGTGAATTAGAGAGTTTGAAGATCGCAAATGTCAGAGTATGAAATAATTCATTTCAAAGTCACATTTCAATTATACATATTTGTACATTAATTTTGCTTAACCCTAGAACGCGCACACGGCTCTCGCAGATCTTTCGCAATTTTAAGTACTTTTTATAAATACAACTTTTTCAAAACTGAACCGATTTCAATTTAATAAAGCTAGTTAATATAAAGAATGTCTGGACAGATTGAAAATGATTAGAAATATAAAATGGAACAATTTTTTGGGACAATTAAATCGAAAATAAGAATGGGGAGAGATCAGATTTGTGTGCGTGTTCCAGGCTTAAGAGAGTTGATTGGTAAAATTGAATTTACCCGGTGTGATCCAACCACTATCGTCGTCATCGTCGTCCTCGTTCTCAAATGATTCGTCACTTTTGGACGTTGCGTCGACTGGAGCGAGAATGTCGTCTACGGCACACTTGCCCTCGCAGTCGCCCTCGACTTTAAAATCAGCTGGATTGCACTTTAGTTCGGAAAATTTGTCAGCTAAATCAGTCGTTTTATCGTCCTCGTCGTCCGACCCAGCCGTTTCATAATCCGATTCCTGCGACTCGTCCAAAGATGCAGACATATGAGAAATGCATTGTTTCTCCGCGTCACTTGTCTCTGTATTACTCGTCGCCGAATTGTCCACAATTTCTATGTGCGCGACATCCTTTTCGTTAACGTCCACACTTTCGTTATCCACCGATTTCTCTCTCTCCTAGATGCAAAATATAAATTTAGATTAACAAAGTATGGCATACAGAAACCGTGGAAATATCTTACCCGTTTCTTCGGTATGTAGAAACCAGCTGGCAGTTTAGAATCATCGCCGGCCGGTTTATCCTCCGCAGGTTTAACGGTCCTTATCGTCGGACTGTCCCTCAGATGCGCCGTCCCGACTTTCTCCTTTTCCAACTGATACGTGAGCGCGATCACCTTGAGGTCGGTGGCAGACAGGCTGGTGTAGTCGCCGCTTTTCTTTGAAAATTCCGTCACAAACTTAACGTTTTCTGGAAAAACGTCCTGGACCTTCAAGTCGTACGGCAGCACGACCAGTCTTCTCAGCTGCCTCTTGTTCGTGATCTCGTCGACGACAGCCTGCTCGGTCAAGATATTGACTCCGATGTCCTGCAAATAAGTAAAATCTCAACGAGGGAGCCAAGATATAAGATTTACACACTGTACTCTCGGCAAGGGCCAGTTTCACCGACGTCGCTTAACTCTGAGCTCGGCTCAATTCGTTCTCTCTTTCCAACTGTTAAGCCCAATCTACAATGTGCTGCCTGCATTTAGAAACATTCTATTTTATGTAAACAAATCAAAACGCTTGACAAACTTGCCGACAATTTACGATTGTACAACGTATAGTGCAGAGTTTATCAACTTGCCCAAATTTTGTAAACGTATCTATTGGCCAGGAAAGAGAATGTTTCCAGACGCAAAGGACACGTTGTAGATTAGCCTTTACGTTAGAAAGAGGCAAACGATGAATTGAACCAAGATTAAAGTTGAACAACACTTGGTGAAACCGGACCTAAAGCCTTGGGTCCACGTTCCAAGAACTGTGTCCAAGTTCTAGTCCTGAGAAATGCTTAGCCAATCAACTTGCAGCTTTTCCATAAAAGATACAGGTTGATTGGTAGCGCATTTCTTGGAACCTGGACGCAGTCCTTGAATCGTGAACACAACAGTTGCTTCCCTTTTACATGAAGACTCAGATAGATCTCACTTGTGACGCCATAACTCAGTTGAATGCGTGTTCCTTTTGATTCTTGAGAAGTGAGATTCAACCAGATTCAACTGAGTTTTTGCACACTTTAGCGAGTTTAATAGACTCACATTAATAGCTGATTTCCTTTTACACTCAAGTGGTACTGAGTCACTCAGTTATGTGAGTATTTTATACTCAGATACGACGTCATTAATGTGAGTCTATTAAACTCACTAAAGCAGGTCTCGATCGTGCGCAAAAACTCAGTTAAATCTGGTTGAATCTCACTTCTCAAGAATCAAAAGGAATGTGCATTCAACTGAGTTATGACGTCACAAGTGAGATTTATCTGAGTTTTCATGTAAAAGGAAAGCAACTGATAGCTGCTTTCCTTTTACACTCAAGTGATACTGAGTCACTCAGTTATGTGAGTATTTTATACTCAGATACGACGTCATTAAAGTGAGTCTATTAAACTCACTAAAGCACACGGTCTCGATCGTGCGCAAAAACTCAGTTAAATCTGGTTGAATCTCACTTCTCAAGAATCAAAAGGAACGTGCATTCAACTGAGTTATGACGGCACAAGTGAGACTTATCTGAATTTTCATGTAAAAGGAAAGCAACTAATGACGTCGTATCCGAGTACAAAATACTCACATAACTGAGCGACTCGGTATCACTCGAGTGTAAAAGGGAAGCAGCTAAAGGCTTTAGTTTACCAAGAGGTCGACAAAGCCTAACCTGAAACAAATACCTTCGCGTACAAATTGCACTCGCGTGTGCTCACGGCCAATAATTACCTGCAGGGCGGCGTTCTTTATGAAAGCGCTCGTATCGACAATAAGATATTCCACTTTACGCTTATTCTCCATGATATCGCACGTGGATTACGTCTGAGAAGCAAAGAACGCACCGTGGAGCGTGGAAGCGCGTGGGCGACCTAACCTGACATCAGTTGAGTGCACGAAGTGCGGACGGAGTGCAGAAGGTGCTGGGAGGATTTAAAGCCCGTGTCATATGCGGAGCAGAAGGCAAGTGGCCAATCGGATCGTTCCAGAACCGGAGCAGACGTGCCTTTTGGAGATTGTGGAACGCACCTGTCCTACGGACTGCGAGAGACAGCCGGGGTTCCCTGGGCTCCCCTGGGCTTCCCGGAACTTCCGCGATAATTCGTGCGTGTCCGCGAAAGTCGCCCTCGAGTGTTTACGTCGCGAACTCGATGGCCGCGCTTTTCTCACCGCACTACTGCGTCGCCGAGTATTGCATTATTAAACGATGGACTGTTGGGGTCTGAAAACAATTCCGTTTTCTTGGATGGACCGAGTGCCACGTCGATCCGAGGACCTGGCTCTGTCGGGATGTCGAGATTAGGCAGCAAACTTTCAACGAAGGGCCCAAGGCTGTAAAGTACACAAGGTATACAATGTTTACCGATCGCACAATGTTAAACGCGCAATATTAAACCCTGGGCTGAGGTAATATTTTTTCCGCGAGAAATTAAAAATAACAATTACTTATTGTTAGACACCAACGTCCTGGCACAATTTGCGTTCGCCGCACGAGAGCCTCCTGAATTTTATTCACTTGTGCAATATATTAAACTTTCTCACGTGACGCGCTGCGAATGTTCCTCCGGACTGTATTGTCTGTGCACAAATGTTTGTATACGACGAGAAAATTTTACCGAGTCTCCCTTCGAAGGGACAGGATGCTGGAGAGGTACAACCAGCTTCGCCAGGACTTCCTCGGCGTGGCTGGGCCCCTGGTTGACAGCGACATCCTGGATCAGCTGAAGCTCAATTATACGCACGATATCGACTCGAGGCGTAAACTGAGCCGGATAAAGGACCTCGGGGCATTCATAAGATTGCTGGAGAAGCGGAACATTGTGAGCTACAGCGACATAGAGCCGCTGTGGTTCATAGCGAAGAAGTATATTCACAGGCCTGACTTGGACAGCAAGCTGGAAGATTACGAAAGTTGGCTCAAGACCGCGCCGTTGTTATGCGACGCGTATCGGAGCGATGAGAGTAAGCGCCCTTTCTTGTTGTTAATTGTACGCTTCGAAACTTGAAGGTGATGAGCTGCGTTTTTCTACGACAGCCTTCGTACCAACCTCCGAGTCCACAGGCTCGACGTGCAGTTCTGCGCATAACGCACCACAGACGTCAACGGGAAGCTCGGCCAAGTCATTCGCCATTAGTACGCAAACGTTACATTGTAATTCCGAACACGAGGAGCTATGTGGTCTTCATAGAAGAAAATTGTTACAAGAGACAGGTATCTTTAAGATCTCAAACTGTAATATTTTTATATTCTTCTTTTCTCATATGTAGGGTTTTTTTTTTCAAGTGTTGCTGCAAATCAAAGATAGGCTGGGTCGATCCTGGAAAGACGTAGCTAGACATTTGGGTATTAGGGAATGCGAAATTGACGCCGTGTGCAGTAAATATCCTTACGACTTGAAGGAGCAAAGCTACGAAGTAAGATCATGCGTTTCTAGACGTTGAATGCACACGCACGCGTGTGTTCGTATACGTAGCTAGATACGTAAAATATAAATGCACTGTACTTGAGACACTGAAGCGGCTTCTGTTTGTAGATTCTGAAAATTTATATGTCGCAATCCAGCACGGAGCAGTGGGCCATAAATTTGATACGCGCCTTGGAAAAGGGAAGACGGAGAGACTTGAGGGAACTTGTAGAGGAATTAATATTGAAAGATAGGAATATACGATATTAATACCAAGGTCTTCGACACGCCAAAGTCTTCCGTTGGAGCCGAATTTGTACCTTACCTCCTTCGTTAACCGAACGTGATATAGTTTGATAGACGACGAAAGAAATTCGATAGTATATCGAAAAAGATAGTTTAATATATATACAAGTAATAGGTGATACAAATAAAAGTACGGAAACGCTATTTCGATATTCATAAGAAAGGTATAATTGCAATAGCGTCTTACGATTAGTATTGTACAGAAGCTTTACAAGAGATTACAAGGATTTATTCTGTTGAGAAATAAGGTGCACAAATTACATGGGAACATACAAATTTATCCTAGCGGCACAGTCGTGCTCGATCGGCCACGAAAATAAGATACAGCAGCCCGCGCGCATCTCTCATAAATTATATCAGTAAACTATACACGCTTTGCCCCTTAAACTAAAGTCTCTACATTAATAATGTGTCCACCTATTTCGCTTCAATATGATTTATTGATTGATCTTCACTTCGTCTCGGTCGTTAATACGGAAACATAACTACAACGACGACATAACATGCTTTTGAGAACAAAATTTTATTTTTTTCCTTCAACATAATGCAAAGATATATTTTCACACAATTTACTGAACAACTCAGGGGTGATATCAATAAATTTAGCGATATATTTAAAGTGTATAAGTATTTTTCGTTTGACTGCCGGCTTTGACCATCGTATCTTTATGTACCTGGTATCCCATAGTCGTCTTAGACGTAATCCTTAATCTCTCCTTCAGCTTCCGGCTAAAAGTTACAAGGCAAATCGTAAAGCACTGAATTCCGAAGTTTACACGAGAGAGAGAGACACACACACACACACAGGGGGAGAAGAGAGAGAACACCGTGCGGCTGGATTCCTTACCCAATTTCCATAACGCTATCCGCGCTATCAGCATTCGATGTCCAAACACCAAGCTTGTCTCCTTTCGTCCTGACATTTACTACGGCTCCGCAGACGTCGTCGGAATACTCATTGAAGGCTTCCCCGATCATGCAGAGCAGAATTTCTAACCAAAAATTATCTAGATCCGTAGCCCTTTGCTTCTTATCTAGATTTATTAGCCATCGTCCGCCGCACTTGTTCTGATCGTCCTCCCACATAGGCCGAATTCCTTGCTTAAACATGCTATAGTCACAACCTTGCCTCAACTCGGATGCCGTCTTTATGTGGTTGTACAAGCTGCGCATAACAAAAAAAGACTTTGCTGTGATTCACGTTCCGCAGTTCGTAGGTCTTTCTCTCTCTCTCCCTCCGGCGCTTTTTTTCACATACACCGAAGTAGAGAGAGAGAGAGAGGAGAGAAGAAGGGCGCGGTTACCTCCAGAAATCCTCAGCTGTGTCAAAGCTCGTTATCTCCCGCTGGCTCTCCTCCCATGTTTTATTCCTGTCGGGCTCGTAATACCACAGGGTCCAGGTGTTTTGCAGCGGATGTTTGATTAAGTATTCGGGCGGGAACTCGCCGGTGTTGGATACCTCCGTATTCTGCTTCCGGTCGATTTCCTGGAAGAGGAACATACGTTCACCGTTCGCTCCAGACATTGCCCATTCGCGACAAAGGATCCGTCGGTCTGCGGGCGACACTCCTCCCCCC